TTGTTTTCTCAATCTTCTTGATACTTTTTTCTAGGTCAGATGTTTTCTCTTCTACATTAGAGATTCAATCTTCTGCCTGGTCTAACTTACTTTTAATACTTTCAAGGGAGGTTTTGATTTCCTGTATCACATTCTTCAATCCTAAAAATTCCACCTGGTTCTTGTTTAAGGTATCCATTTCTTCCTTCAAGTCATTAAAGGACTTCCTCATCTCCTGGAGCTCCATGTCTCTTTTCTCTTCCATATCAGTTAGTTTAGTCACTACAAATATTTTGAATTCCTTATCAGACATGTCCACAACTTCCATTGTGTTGACTGTGGGTGATGTTGGCTTGATGATTTCCCTTGAGGGAGAGGCCTTTTGTTGGTTGCTCATATTTCTTGAGCCTCTGCAATTGTTCCTAGTCATCAGGTAATCTATAAGTTTCTTTCTAACTTATTTAAGGTATCTCTGATTGTTAAAAGTTGTACACACTTAGAAAATTGATGATTTCTCTTATGGTTGGCCTACCTGTTGCTCACAATTACCATTAACTGTTGCCACTAGCCCTGGATGGCCCAAAGTCCTCGCTGTTTCTAAGGAGTGGTGAGCCTCCAACTGACCTAATAAGCAACACCCCAAGAGCAACGAAAAACAAAACGAAAGAAGGAAATCCCGCAGTGTTCGTTGTGCTGCACGCTATTCAAATCACCAAAATTCAAAGAATCCAAAGGCTAGTGGAAAAGGGTCAGAAGATGAGTGACAGGACCAGGTTGGTCGGGACTGTAACCTCAGTCCGCCTGGTGCCCAGAACCTCTGGCCAGCTCGATCCGGATTGCAGGTGGGGTAGGATGGGAGTCCACCTTAAAGTCCCAGACAACCAACCTGGGGTCCAAGGAGGAGGAACAGTGGGGATGCGTGGAGATTCAGAAGGGTCGGGCCTGCAGCCTCAGTCCACCTGGTGTCCCAATGCCCTTATTATTTTCATAACCTTCTGTGATACCAATTATCCAGTGGGAGTTCACCTTAAAGTCCCAGACAACCAACCTGGGGTCCAAAGCGGAGGAACGGTGGAGATTCGGAAGGGTTGACAGAACAAGTTTTGAGAACAGATTTATGAAGGAGAGTATCTCTGTTTTTGTAGCAGGTTCAGTGAGTTGTCAAAATTTCTCTGGGCCTTACAGTAGTCAGATGTTTGACTACTATGCACCTGGACATGTCGAGGCAGTGGGTGCCTCCTGAGCAGCAGGATGAGAAATTAAGATAAAAGAAAAAGAGAATAAGAAACAAAAATAGGAAAATAAAACAAAGAAAAAAGGAAGAAAGAAAAATAACAGAAGAAAGGAGAAAACAAAAAAAGAATAAATAAAAATAGAATGAAAACTGCACAACATGGAAGGAGATGGGCAATGGCTGGGAACTTCTCAGTAGTGATGCTGGGCCCATGAAAAGGCAGCACAGCACACACCTGAGATGGAGATGTCTGGGATTGCCCTGTCCTATGTGGTGGAGGGGGGAAAATTGGCAAGAGAAAGGCTCGGGGATTTTTTTTTTTTTTTTAGTTAGAGAAGAGAAAATAAGAGGACAGAGATTTTCTCTACCTTTTCTAGTTTCCAGGGTCTGAAAGGAGAAAGGGCAGTAGCTGGGTGCTTCTCAGTAGTGAAACTTTGCCCAAAAAAGGACAGCACATGCCTGAGATAGAGATGCCTGTGGATGCTGTCTTTTTCTGGTTTCTGGGGTCTGGAAACAGAGGGTCATTGACTGGGCACTTCTCAGCAGTGATGCTGGGTCCATAAAAGAGCAGCACATGCTTGATACCCCCTTCTTGTATTCTAAGTATATACATATTACACTGTTTAATATTGTCTTGTAGTGCTTGGATGTTTTGTTCTGTTTTCTTTTCTTAGTCTTCTGCACATTTCAGTTTGCATAATTTTTTTTTACTTTTTACTGTTTTTGGCATAGAGTGCGTGCACTCTCTCGAGTGAGGCTGAGAGAGACAGAGAGACAATGATAAATCACCCTCTGGGGGGATATCTCTGTCACAGTAACTTTTTCTTCATTCTCCTCCTGGGATTGAGGCATGCACCTATACACACCCAACGTGAGTAATAGGCCAGGTCCAGGACTGAAACCACGGTCAGCCGTGTGGGTGTTCAGTGACTTAACCACTGTGATACCTGCTGGCTCTAGTTTGTGTAATTTCTATTGACTTATCTTCAAGTTCATTGACTGTGTTGAGTCTACTGATGAGCACATTGAGGACATTCTTCAGATCTGTTACTGTATTTTTCTTTTTGCATTTACATTTGACTATTATACTTTCCATCTCCCTACTGAAATTACCTATCTGATCTTACATAAATACCTTTCCAATGGAGTCTTTAACATATTAATCATAGCTGTTTTAAATTGCTCGTCTGATAATTCCAACACCTACCTCATAATTGAATCTGATCCTGATGATTTGTCTCATCAGATTACTTTTATTTCTTACCTCAATTTCTCTCTTTACGCTACCCTCTGGGGATAATGTTTCTTTTGCATTTTTTATAGGCATATTCCATTATTACTTTTACTAATTTTTTTTAGCCTAGTAGTGGAAAATAGGGGACTAGAGTCATTTTATGCTGTGCTGATAAATTCTCAGTCTTAGGTAGGCTACTCTGAGTGTTGAAAGCATTACCTTCACAAGTGTTCCTGCCCTTCCTCTAAATGTAATGCTGGTCCTAGTACATCTTTCTGTCCTTCCTGAGTTAAAATGCTTCTGTTTTTATCTCCCAGCTATAGTTGTATTCCACCAGTACCTTCAATTTCTGTTGCCCTTCCTTCTTTATATTGGGACCTTACCCCCCCCCTCCCTTAGGAGATATAAGATATTGATCTGGGCAGAGTTTCAGTGATGGCCATTCCTCTCTGCCAGCTGCTGTGAGTTTCTGCCACTGCTCTCAAACTACAGTTGTTGTTGCCTTTCACCCTAACATTAAGGTTTTTCTTTCATAGAAAATACAAAGAAATTGGGCAAAATTTTGGCAATGGCTACTATTTTGTCCCTTTGCTAAGTGAGAACTACAGAATATTTTTCTCAAGATTATTCTATTTTCCCTGTCAGCACCTGGTGGAATTCTTAGAGGCAGATTCTGCAAAAGGATACAAATCATCTATGTCTACAGCCTCCATAGGCTTCACACTCTCATACCAGCCTACAACTAGCTTTTAGCAATTCACTAGTAAGTTTGAGCTGAATTTTCCTATGAGTTTATATGTTGTTTAGTGGTATCTGCACCAGAGAAACAAATGTCAGGATCCTGTTGCTTCCTGCAAATGCCTGTTTCTATAGGTTTGAAGTTATCTTTTCACTGGAACTTCAGTTTTATGATGAGGTTTTTTTTTTTTTTTTTTTTTTTTTTTTTTTTTTTTGTTG